TGTGTATTGTACGTGTGTGAATTGTGCGAATTGTGTGTAATACTATAATAAAGTTAAGCAATACCGGTTAAGCGGCGAAATTACATACATAAGGATATCGTAATACGTAATACGCGAGGGTAGAGGGATAAGTAAATTGAGAGAAAATCAAAATTAGTTATTAAATATGTAAACCGCGACTAGTCGTGTCACTAGCCAATCGCATTCGATAATGTATTTAAGGAAAATCTTACGATCGATAAGTAATCACAATTCAGGGTCCCCTAGTTGTTTCTCTCTTAGCGGCGCGAACAGTGAGGATAGATTAATTAAAAATGAATGTATCTATTCGATGAACCAGAAGTACAAGTAAAACAACTGTTTCGATGACGAATTATTAAAAAAAGATTAAAAAAAAAAAAAAAAAAAAAAAAAGATATGTGTATATTTAACTTAGGAGAGGTGTGCTATTTACACGTGTGTACATAACGAACGGTCATCGGTGATTTTATGTAATCGCATACAAACGAGTATGTTAATTATGAACAACTGTGACAAGGAACATTAAAACGGAAGACAATTATATTCGTCTGATAATGATCAGAAAAATTTTGAAGTCGGCCACTCATAGCCAGTCATAAATGATAGATGAAGAAAGAAAAGGATAGAGGTAAAATAAAATAATAATACGAGAGTAAGAGCACACCGTACCAAAATATTTTTTCGCGAAAATCGAAAAATATATCGAAATTATTATTTTTGCAAAAAAAAAAGAGAGCGTCGAAACTTCCTCAAAACGACGAAAACAATGAGACTTTTTCGAAATATAGAAGAATATCTTTTCTACGCAATAGAATGTTTTATCGAACAAGAGAATTCTAACCGATTCTTTGATAAAAAAAAAAAAGAAAAAAAAAGAAAAAAAAAAGAAAATGTAAAAAAAGGAAAGAGGGAAAGAAAAGGAGATCTATAATTTTAAGCGTAACAAAAAGCTGTAACGTAACGTTAGAATACAGCAAACCGAATGTTCCTAATGTAATGCTTTCATCTGAATACGTATATTTATAAGTATTTACACGATAGAGGTTCTAATATTTATATCTTGCCCTATGACGTTTATGTTTCGACTTTTTTTTTCTTTTTTTCGAAGAACAAAAATGAAAGAAAATAATGATATTATTATAAGCGATTTAATCGAGATCGAAGAAAAAAAAAATTATGAAATATTTATATATATATATATGTGCGAATAATATTGTGTATATGAGAGAATCGAAGCCAACGCGATATACTTGAGCGAAATAATGAAACATTTGACAATTTGCAACGTGTCAAATATATCTGACTTATATGGAAGAACGTGAAACTTTGTTCCTTCAATTTAATACGAACGTATACAAATTGATCAAATTCTTGGGAACAAGATCTTTTATGTAAGTTAGATATATGATATCTGAAGAAGAAGAAAAAAAAAAAAAAAAAAGAAAAAGAAAAAATTACTGTAAGTATCTACATTCGTCGTCAAATTGAACGTTTTTACCATCGAAGCGAAAAATATCTTTTAAAAATTTTCAACGAATTGTAACGCGACATGTAAGCAACATCATTGTATTAATGTTCATTGTAACTATGTTTGGCATATTCATTTTAATATGGTTGTTAGCAATTGTTCTGACACGATCGAGGGTACAAAAATCCAAGGAGCGAGAATCAAAATATTCGAGAATCAAAATTACATTGTAAGTTCATAGAAGTTGGTTGTTCGTCGATAAATATTATTTGTTAGTCAAGAATAGTTGGATACGTCCAATAATATAGTCTAATAATCATTATATATCGTCGTATCATTCCTTGTTCCTTCTTACCTTTATCACCTTATAATCTCATATAAGTATACTTTTTTTTAATCTCTTTGAATAGAAAACTGCTATTCAAAGAAGAAAATTAATTGCGTTGTTGTAATCGTTTCATTATAATAGTATCATATCAGTTTAGATATGAATATGAAGATATCATATGAATATTTTACATTATGAAATGTAGCAAAAATTGAGAGATATATTAATTAATATCGTATGAATTCGATTCGCGTAACAATTTTTTTTTTTTTTTTTTTTTATGAGTCAAATGATAAATACACGATCTGATTATTTATCAGAATAGAATTTCAATCAAGAACGTGTCGATAAAAAATTTCGATAAACTATGAGTTTAATAAGGTGTAAATATATAACGAGTCGACAATGAAAATGAAGATTGGAATCATTTACGTCAATATTATTCTTCTATCTTAATTAATCTATCTATCAATGAAAATCAATAAAAATAAGTTATTTCTTAATTTATATTAAAATACTATATATATATATATATTTTTCATGGCACTTAAAATGAGATTCTTATTGGAATAATAATCTCTATTATCAATGACAAATGTTACTCGCAACAAACAAGACTCTCGACCTACAGTCGATTGAAGGTCGATGGTAAGTATCGTACTCAAGATCAAATTTTATGAAAATTTTATACTTTCCGATGATATCGTTCTAATATGTACCAATTAAAATTTTAAATTGCAAGTATCCATATTAAGATGGAATCTTAAATATTTATCCTTGTGAAAAATTCCAGTAGGAAAATAAATTTTTTACGTATTTTCCTTGAAAAGAACAACAGGTAACAATCTGTATAAATTAGAATTAAATATTTCGTTAGAATTCCAACGAGCACGTACATTTTTATTGTCCATCCATGTTTCTAAGCTAATGAATCATTATTTTCCTCAATTTACTATATAATCTTTTAATTCATTTTCATTAAATTCGCATTGAAATTTAGCATCGCTCGACAAAAAATCAATAAAATTATTAAAATCCACGAATATACCGGAAATCTCTATCTTTCGCATTTGCAAGAATATCGCGATAACATAGATAAATCGCACTAATAAGATAAATTTCAAGAAACGTGATCGATGTCGTTGTAAAACAGAAAAAAAAAAAAAAAAAAGAAGAAAGACAACAAACAGAGAAAAAGACAAAATGGTAAGTTGAAAGAAAATCACTGCTAATTAAACAGTGCATAATATGTACATTTACAATGCTCATCAATCATGGTAGGGAGAAATCTGTGCGTTTTATAACCAGTAATAAAGCCGCTATAAAGATTGTTTACATTGTAGTATTCAGATTAAACGAAAGGTGTCGAATGTCAGCGATTAAATGGATGATTATTATTTATTTCACGATATCATAAGAATTAACTGATTATTTAAAAATACCGATTAACTCGACTTTTCTTACATCTTTGATACGCAATGGTAACAACACATTTAAAACACATTCCATATTTATTCAATTTCACCGAGCACGCTCAAATTTTAAAAAGTCATTTCAATGGATGTTTTTTTTTTTTTTTTTTTTTTTTAACGATTGTTTAACGATCAACAAACGTCATTTATACCTGTTTACCGCTCAGGTATTACCCCTTTAACAGAAAATGGAATCAATCGTGTTTGATATTTGTATTCTCGAATGTAAATATTAAGACACGTACTCGACCTATACTTTGTGTTATCGTTTATATCGCTATGATCGTTTTGTTCTCCTCAAATTAGTCTTGAATCGGTTCGCCATCAGGTGCGTTAATCTCAATTAAATCTCGCGTTCTCGACGTTATTTTTCCATATATTTCAATGTCTGAAAATATCGGAACATGTATTAAAAGCGATTTTCTAGAGAAACGAATCGAACGATCAACCGTACACCGCCAGAAATCAACGCGTATACGCGATAATTGCATCTGTAATTCTCTCAAATTGGAAAGAGCAATAAACTCTACACGAGGCGAATGATATATTCCCCACTATCTGATGAAATCACTTCGAAATTGGCGGGATAAGGTGAGAAAAATAATATTATCCAGACGGTTGACTCAAGTTGGTGATCGGAGTGGGATCGGTGTTGATTCAATTGTAATGTCTTTAGATGGCAACAATTTCGCGAAAGAATTTAAATTCGCAAAGTTTTCGATTTCGAACGTGATTCCAAACGCATCGAATCTTAGAAATTTTAATAAATTCAACAATATTTTCGTTCTTTCGTTTATAAACAATTATACATTCACTTTAGAAAAACACACACAAAAATAGTGATTATTTGCTAATTAGTCGATAAATTATCATAATGTTTCCACGGCTATCTGCCATTTTAATGACACGAACTATCGAGTTTACGATTAATGTTACATGACCACGCGTGTCACGTGTTAGTTAGGTACTTTGCCGCTCGATCATGAATCGTCATGTATGACGTCATTGAAAAGAACCAAATAAATCCCATTCGACTCGCATAAGCGTACGCATGAGAATACCAATTGTTGAGAAATTTCTTCGAAATTTCTTCGATCGTGCCGTGAAACCGCCCGATTTATATCCGACCAATTGCATTTTTGCATTTTGAATACTGTAAAATGGAAATGAATGAATCCTCTCGTCCGTTTGGATCGATCGCGTGATATTCGATGTACGGTGAATTCGATATCCTTCTGTATCGCGTTCGTCTTTCCATGGAAAAAAGAAAAAAAAGATTTCCTAGTATTACATATTCTTTTCCTGATGCTGAATCACTCGCCTTGAGCGTATTATTAATTAAAAACAGATTCTTCGAAGAGGTATCGAGATCTTCGCCGATAATCTTAAATATACTAATTTAGATAAATCACTCTTATATCTTGATCGCTAATAGATGCAAAAAAAAATCGGTAGCTTTAATCTAATTATCGAGCTTTTAATTTTACAAAAAAAAAATACAAGAACGGAATATTAAGATAACGAATTATTACTTTTACAATTATCTTTATCGTGTTTCAAGACAAATTTTAAATTTAAAATACTTCTTTTCTCACGTTTAAATTTACATTACTCGATTCAGGAACGTATATATACACGAACGTATACGTATATTAGGAACGAAGGAGGAGGCGCCATACATATCGAGTAACGGATCCAGTAATTGAAACGAGAACTGTTCGAGAACGATTTTGCGAATCAATTATTGATCTACGATCTACAACAATCTATTTACAATAAGATCTCCCACCACCATCGCCGGTCGAGATAGCGCACGTGCGTATGCCCGGACATCAGCACATCGCATCCATGCATATGAGCGGTCGAAGTGCCGACAAACGAACTAAAGCTTCTTTTATCAGTCGGCCACGACCGTGTGAGGCAAACAGTTGAGTACGCGCGGCGGTGGTGCGTTTACGGGTGCGAGAACAGGCAACGGCTTCTTTTTCCTCGTTTCCCGTTTTCCCGCGGCCTTTGTGCATTCCTTACCGGCCAACATTTCCACAACGCTGGATCGATCATTGATCACGATCCTCCGTCACCGCACGACGAAACCAACTTTCCGTTTCGGCTCACGTACAACCGATCGAGAAGAGTCCCGTACGAAATTGCACGCGACTTCGACAACGAGATCGGACAGCGACAACAGAGCAGAAGTGGCAGGGTTAATCGAATATCAAGGAACAATAAACGCTTTACGAGCAAATATCGACACGCTGGCGCAAATTCTTCAATATATCGTTACTACGTAAGTATTGGTCAAGATAGCAATTTATTTCTTTCTTTTTCTTCTTCTTCTTCTTCTTTTTCTTCTTCCTCTTCTTATTCTCTCCGTTTCTTCGCTGTCTTTCTCTTCCCCGACATACTTCGTGTTTTTTACTTAACAATATTGTCGAGTGTCCACGATAGCGAGTGTCTATGATACAAAATGTAACGTACTGAATGTAACGACATTGAACGTGTCTTGAACGTAGAAAAAAAAAAAAAAAAAAAAAAAAAGAAACCGACAAATTAAATATAATCTGATAACGTTGCCGAAGAAAAATATTTTTTCGTTCGAAAAACGCGTTGGCAAGCGTTTATATTTCCGTATATTTTAACAATAAATTATTGTTTCGAAAAGTGTGATATCATAGTATCACAATTAAATGTAATTGATAGCAAGTTTATTTCTGTAAATGAGTGTACCGCGTTAATTTCTATTATCATCGAGTGTACGTACGTACATGGTAATATAATTCAATGACGCTTATCCATCGTGTGATAGAAACGAATTAAAAAAAAAAAAAAAAAAAAAAAAAAAGTTCTAATGCTCAAAAGTTCAACAATTTCATAACGTAAAATATCGGTCTCGAGAGTAGATTCTTCTCGAGAATATTGAAAATAGCTGTTTTCAGCTTTTTTTGTTCGCGTGTAATATAAATCCTGCGACACGTGGACTTAGATTAATAGTAATACAAGAACTAAGTTCCTCATGTCGTTAATGATACTATGCTGATCTCGTATATAAGGTTTCACGCGCTATCAAAAGTCTAGACTAACAATAAGAGCAACGACATTAAGAGAGTAGCAAAATGGAGTAGCTATCGGTGGAGCCATGAATATCCTTGTACATTATCAGTCAATAAATGACCGATATCGATCATTTAATGTCTACATTCGTAATAAAATTTATTATGATTATCGGTAAAAATCCGTATACTTTAAAATCAAATGTTTCCACGGAAGATCGAATAAGATTTCGTCGTATTCTATTTTTAACGATTTTTTTTTTTTTCTTTTAATTAATTGAAACCCATACGTCAATCTTCCTCTCCACAAATAATATTTCTTTTGAATTTTTTTTTTCTTCTTCTTCTTCTTTTTTTTCAAAGATCAAGGCTGACCGAGATAGGTAGGTCCGACGTGAAAGTATCTCAGGTCGATCCCGGACTTTGCCAATTTCGTAGAGGATACTACAAGATCGTCCGCCAACACCGAACTCGGTACGTGTTGCGATAAATTCGGATACGAAAGATATTTTTATCCCCGGCATCCAAGGTATAGCCGGCCAAATGTTCGATTATATTTTATCATTTAAAAGATACGAGATACGTCTTTAAATATTATCCTCTATTGAATCATCAAAAAATTTGCAGATATGGTCGTTTCTCCGGTCTCGTCGACTGAACCGGCGCTGTTCAACGTGACTGATATAAAATTAAACGACTGCGCTGATCACAATGAGCATCTAGCAAACAAACTTAATAACAGGGGAGTTAAGGATCACGCGTTTACGATACAGCGAGACAATATGTCGAACGGAAAGGATAATTATGCCTTAGATTTCGACTGCATAGAGAAGGCGATCGATAACAAATTAAATTCATCCGCCGACATCAAAGCGGAACCCGATATCGTGAAGAAAGTGGCAGGTGAGCGATCACTGACTTTTCGTTTGCATGCATGGACCGTGAGTGTCATATACTCACAGTTTTGACACAGTGGAAAAAAAGAAAGGGGAATGAAAAAAATTACGATTATATAATATCGATTACGATCAATTCGCCAATTTTGTCACGTTCGAATTATATGATAGACTTGAAAAAAAAAAAAAGAAAGAAAAAGAAAGACTGTCATATAATACTCCGTTCGAAAAAGTCACGAACCGTACGAGTTTTATAGACATTTGCTATTTGTGACGAGAAATTAACGCGGCAAGATAGAATGTATCGCTAAGTGTTACCGTCAACGATGATAACGCCTTGCTTTGTTTCGAACTCGATTTCATTTAAACAACCGGCAAACTGGGAGGTCGAAGAACCGAGGGAGCCGATTGAAACGTGACATTGCGCCGATACGCTCTACAGATTATTATTAATGAAAATCTACCGCGTTAATTAATCGCATTAATAAAACATTTGCGTCGCTGTTGCATTATTTATGGAAGTAAAAAACTAGAAAGAAACAACGAAACGAATCGAATATATTTTTTTGTAAACAAAATTTATAAGTAACAATAAACATCCTCCATGCTCGTCGCGATTATTATTATTTTCCATTATATTTTAATTTCTCGTTCAGAACGAAAAGATTTGCGACCAGCATCGAAAACAGAGTTAACAGGAATACGCGATTCAACGAGTGAAAATAAAATTTCATGATTTTCGTATATCTCTGGCAAAATTGCAAATTTGTGTCAATGAAAATTTAAGAAATTATGATAAAAAAAAAAAAAGAGAGAAATCTTGGAAAGATAAGTTTTTAATAGACGCGTGTTTCGTTCGAGTCGATCAGAGCGATTCCGGGAAATAATTTAATTAAATGTCTTTGAAACTTCGTACGGTGCAATGTGAGATGTATTGATTTCTTGATAGCGGGTCTGAAAAGTTCTAATGGCCAAAAGAACAAAACGGACATGTCACTACCCAATCTCGGTGGTGGAACACTTTCCAGTGGATGTTCGATAGTGACGATCTCTTCCGTCGCAAATTCAGATCCTGATCCTGAGTTCCATAATAACACGGATGGGTTTGGTAACAGCGCATACAGACACGAAAGATGGTATCAGACCACCCTTCAAGTCGCTGTGCCTTTCTTTATCGCCGGGATAGGTACAATCGGTGCTGGTCTCGTACTCGAGAATGTCAAGGTATGTATCACACTTAACGTTAATAAAACGTTAAAAGCAATTCAAACTTCGTTTTAGATCCGATTAATCTAACGTATAAATTGAAAATTTAATTTCTATTATAGATCACATATTTTTCCAAGGGCAAGTTCCTCTTATCGCACACTTTACTTTTATTATCTGAAGATAATGGTAAAACGCGCGTTATTTTTTATTTATCTCTGCATTTTATCTGTCGTAACAAATGAAATATGATGGCCCAAAAACAACAGGGTAATCTTGAGAATCTTTTACATAAATATTCCGCGCGATTTCTTCTTTTCTTCTCCTCATCTTCGAGCCCATCCAACTCAACCCCTGAAAACATTCGCGATCTAAGATTTTATCGGCGTCTACTAATGTAGAAATTCTTGAAACGTAATTTACATTCCTCGGTTGCATTCCATTCCATAAGAATATCCCGGGGGAACGTAATCCTCTTTAATTAAATGTCGTCTCTCTGTTTTAGGACTGGCCAGTATTTCGCACCGTTTCTCAATTAATCATTCTTGTCCCTTCGCTGTTGGGTCTGAAAGGGAATCTCGACATGTGCTTGGCATCGCGTTTATGTACCCAAGCCAATCTGGGGAATATGCACGAGTTTCGAGAGATCGTGAAAATGATAATCGGTAACATCGCGTTGGTGCAGATACAGGCGATTGTCGCGGCCATTTTGGTATCAATTTTCGCGATTATTTCCGCGATAGTAGAAAGTAGCGAGTACAGTTTCGAATGGAATCATTGCCTGTTATTGGCCGCCTCCAGTGTATCCACCGCCACGAGTTCTTGTTTTATTCTAGGTAAAGTCATTGTAATTGAATCGTGAATAAATTTTCTTTTTACAACATTTACATTAAACTTGCAAATGCTATTCGTAGAATGCAATTCATATTCGTCAATTTACGCATACTCTTTTATAATCGAATAATTTCTTATTAAGAATAAATCATTAGAAAACAATTATGTATTCATGTATTCAGTAGAAAAAAAAAAAAAAAAAAGAAAAAAAAAAAAAGAAAAAAAAAAAAGAAGTTCATGATCAACGCATTCCAACATATTCCAATTTTTCCTTTTTTATTTTTCTCGAAATTATTAATTCGTGTTCTTTTTCCATAGATTTTGTGATGATTGTCGTCATCATAATCTCATACCGATGTAAAATGAATCCTGATAATTTAGCCACACCTTTGGCTGCCTCCTTCGGAGACGTCGTATCAATCAGCATGCTATCCACAATCGCATCGGCGTTATTCGAGAGAATGACTGGTTCCGTACCATGGATTTTGTACATTATACTCGGCTGTTATTTGTTGATTTTACCATTTTGGATTTATGTAGTGCTCAAGAATAAATATACTAGAAACGTTTTAGCATCCGGATGGATTCCAGTTTTATCGGCATTATTTATCAGCGGGTTAGTCGTATTATTTTTACATTATATTCGTTCATAAATTTTTAATTCAATTTTCTCAACGATTAAATAATTAATTATTATTCATTATTTGTATTTTAATACAGATGTGGAGGTTTGGTTCTCAGTGGAGTCGTTGACCGATTCACAGGATTCGCCATCTTTAATCCAATAATAAACGGAATTGGTGGAAATTTAGTCTCCGTGCAAGCATCTAGAATCTCAACTACATTACACCAAACAACGATCATGGGAATTTTACCGCCACACTCGAAAATATTCATTGCCCCGTGGAAGGCGCTCTTTACAGGCAGTAAGTGATGCAAGAATAACTAATGTTACGTTCTTACACGCTTTTTCGCAGTTGCACAATAACGCTCGCTTTCATTCTCTAGCGCTATACGCGAAAACAGCCAGAATACTCATTTGTATGGCGATTTTTGGTGAACTAATCTTCATTTTCGCCGCTGATTACATCCAATGGGGAAAGTCCACTTTACACATATACTTCGTAGTGTCTTACATTGTTATGGCTGTTCTTCAAGTGAGTATAACGCCCGTAATTGTAGCACTGAAAAAGTGAAAGGTTCGAATATCTGGGAATTTTTGTTTCGCAGGTCATGTTGTTGCTTTACGTGGCGCATATTATTATTCACGCTATGTGGCGATTCAAGATAGACCCGGATAATTCCGCCATACCGTATCTGACAGCTTTGGGCGATCTTTCGGGAACGATATTTTTAGCAGCAGCGTTTTGGTTTCTCGGAATGATACATCACGATTATACAGGCAAATAGGGATTAACTGGTGTGAAGAGATTGAAACATAATGAGAATTTTGTATGAATTTTTCCTTCGAATGTGTGTGATGCATTAATTTGAAGGGTGTTAAATCGTGTCGAAAGATGTTCGAAAAACGAGACAAGAGAAAACGAAGATTAATTAAGAGAGCGAGTGTTACGTGGAAACGAGTACAGTGCATTATTGCGGAACGATCTGATTGATCTGAGAGGGACAAAAGAGCACAGAATTATTTTTCTCTATTAAGGGACCATCTTAATGATACGTTAGCCGCGTTAATTAGTCGCGCACATTGAACGTAGTGGATTAGAAAAAAAAAAACATGTCGCTCTTCTTGAAATAGATACATTAATAGGAAGAAAAAGTACAATGACACCGATTCTAATATAACTAGATCAAGCTTCGTCATGGTGTAATTTATTATGATCTAATGATCGTACAGTCCCTATTACATCATAGCAAAAAAAAAGAAAAAAAAAAGAGAAAAGAAAAAAAGAGATGAACATTGCAAAATAAACATATTAACTGACGATTACTTAGAGTTATAAGATTAATGTAATTTTTTATAAGATTTTAATTATGCTTAATCAAAAAAACAAATATTTTAAATATAGTAATATATGATTGCATCTATGAATGCACATAAGTATTTTCAACGTAATCGTAATAAACAAAAGACCTAGTCAGTATTTTAACACTGATTTATAATTGCGTTGTAAGATCATAATATTAGCAAAAATTAATTTGTACTATGGTACATATTTTTTTTAAAGTAGAAATTATATTTACAATTTGCAGAAATTTAAAATAGAATGCTTTGTAATAATAATAGATAAAATTAATTTTAAAATACTTTATTAATATTAGAAATTTAAATAACTTCTTGTCGTAATAGAACAAGAAAATAATAGGCTTTAAATATTTTATATATTGCAACAAAATATTTCTTTTCCTTCAATCATGAGTTACAGTTCTATAATTAAAAAGTATTTCTAATTAAACAATCAATTTGAGATTATCAAAATTATGTATTTTACAAAAACATGTAATGATTGATTTTGTAATAACATATATAATTTATATAATTTAGCATAACTTACCGAAAACAATTTAAACAAAGTACATGTTCATTAAATGATATTGAACAATGTACTATGTTTTTAGTTCCTTAAATAGTATTATATAATAGTAATATACAAATCTTAATGAAAAACTTTACATAGCGACCTGTGATTTAAAATGATAGCTCTTATAAACAAAATATGTAAAAAATTTTATTCTTTCAAATAAAACTTTATATTTCTAAAGTAATAGTTTTTATATTATATTATATAATAATACAATGAAACGAAATTTATATTGCTAAATGAAATGCTTCTCATAAAAATCAATATTATTAGTACTTTAGTATTTTTTATTTATATATATATATATATTAATGAAAAAAAATTGATTAAAAATATTCTTTCAATAAAAAATAATAATAAATAAAAACCTTTTAGTAAAAACTGGAATATATATATTACATCAATCAGAAATCTAACCTATTTAATTATATAGAATTTACAGATATATATTTTTTTATATATATTATCATATAATATTTGTATTTTAAAATTTTAATAAAATTTTACACAATATATAATATAAAATATTATACAAAAAGTTTTCTTTCATAATATGCAATATTTTTTATTATAAATTAAAATTTTAATTAAATAAAATGTACATAACAGTGAACATAAAAGGTTATGTTTTTTTGAAGATTTGATAAATTTCAATTAGAATAGAAAATAACTTAAAATATCACACTATAGTTATTACATAATAATCATAAGCAAATAAATATATTTCTAATATCAAATAACACTTTATCATTATTTATATAAGGACTACTTTATCATATCGAAATGTAAAAATGCGCGGGAATTTAGTAATTTGGAAACTGTTTTAAAATATTTCTAAATATTTATTAATAATTAAATATTTAATATCAACAAAAATTAAGTTTTAATTAATTAATGTCGATATAAAATATTTATAAAATATATTTTAGTTACTTAAAAAAAAAATATAAATATAAAAGAATAAAATATAAAATCTTGACATTCTTCATAATAACTTATACATAATTATTAATACAATTAAACAAATTAAAATTCATATAATTATATATGTAATAAATTATTGAAAACTATTAGATTTCTTAAATATAACCACAAACCTCAAACCTAACCTTTGAAAACCATTCAACTGTTTTAGCAAAGAATCCAAATAGTTTGTGGCTGCATTTGATAAAAACACAAATATTTTACACAAATAATATAACATAAAATAATCACATTGTTTAAAAATCACAATCGTTTATCTTTTTAAAAATTTTCTAACAGCAGTGATGCAACTGTGTTTAACCCGCCGAAAAAAAGCAATCTTGCGCATACAACGATGCGCAACCATTGGTCATCCTTGCGCGCGGTACCTTCAAAATGAATAAAGGATGATTGCATCGCGTTCACCGAAATGAAAGTTCTACCATGTCCCTGTGCGAGTCCTTACGAACACGACCAACTTGGCCTCTGCAAGTGGGGTACATAACAAGAAGGGGGATGCAGGAACTCATGCGCGACATTCTCCTAAGACATTTAAAGTGGAACAGTTCCTGGTTGTATCTAGTAAAGACGCTACGCGAGTTCTTTCCGATAAATACTCTCTTTTCTCTCTTTTGTAAATAATCATCTGTGAATAACATTACAATAAACAGTGTGAAACTAGTAATCAAAATTCTGCAAGTATTAATCGCGATGTCGACGGTGAGTGTCACGACACGACTACGGATATTTCTTTAAAATAATTTTCTATATTTTTGTGTATATAGTGATATTTACAATATCACTAATATAATAATTTTATCTTGAAGCATCGAAACGTGTGCTGTGATTGAAAAATAAAAATGTGATAGATACGCAAATGATGAGTATTTTCATATAATGAAACGAAGGTTATGCATTTCTATTGTTTCTATATATTTAATTGAACGTGATACTTGACTGGGTTAATTGATTATACTTGAGAACATTGCTCATTGATATGATTGAACGTTGACAATTTTACTATAGCTGACAAAACATCGGTGTAGAGTTAAGATTTTCTCGATTATTTTCACTCGCGTGACTTAACGTTATCTTAATTAATTAATGTCTAATATTTTGTGTTTATATGCAACATATATTGTGTTTATTTTCTAAAAGCAAATGATATTTTCAGCGATATTCTCCGTATATATCGATTCTATAAAAACATTTATTTTTATTTTCACTTTTTTATTTTCATTTTTTTTTTTTCATATTTTTCATTTTATTGCAATAGTCTTTTTTGTTTGAAGAAGCATTGAAAATATACAAATGATTTTTTTTTCATTAAGAATTTCGATAAAAAAAAAACATTACATTTAAAACATACAAATTTATCTATTAACGTCTATTAATGTATATTAACATTGAAAAACTTTTTATCGTTGTTGTATTGTATTTCATTTTACTACTTTACAATGAACCCAGAATAATAAGAACCACTTCTATTTTGCGAGTGAAGGTAAGCAAAAAGAAAAGCGAAAGGGTGGTTTAACACGCATCATCGAGCATATGAATGTCTTGCTATTTTAAGCATAATAACGTTCGTGTCAAGCGCAAATATGTGAATTGTGTAAGATCGAGTTTTGCATATAGAATTGTTGCATATTAGATCAATATATTTCGAAAAAATAAATATATATACACGATACGTTTCCGAATCAATATTTTATTATTAACTAAATAATTGTTAATCATTGGCATTCCATTAATCGAAAGTAAATCAAATTTTGAATTGACATAATCTTCAATATAAGTGATAGTTTACTTGGTGAAATAATGGCACAATACACTAGGCACATTCGCGAACCGGTAAATCCGATGAAAACTATAGATATCCAAGTTGGCCAATATCGTCGAATAATTGATTCGTGAAGGAAGAAAATAACCCTATAAATCGGTCAGCGATAAATAAGGTAGGAAAGATAGAAAGAGAGCGACGTTTCACTTAAAATATGAACACTATTTGGACGTTTACTTTCTACGGACGTTCGTATTCGAACGTACAACAGAGTGTCGAAATCGCGAATAGATATCTATGTAATCTCCTTGCAAGACGCGCCATTGCGAGTCATGTATGAGCGAACCAATTCACAGTCATCTATTGCGTACATCTGCAGGCACACACAAATCTACCAACACATATAAATATACACATACACTATACATTGTTACATATACGCGTTCGATGATGTTGCTTTTATGATCACTTTCAGATTCTATTTTAAACTCGTTCGAAGTATGAAGTGTTCGTGTCAAAGAATAATCATTTATTTCAGTGGATATTACTTTGCGTGATAGTCGGTCGGGTAACATCCGATTTGCTTGTTTAATAGTTTGCCTAACACTTCTCGATGATGTACATCACAATGACAATAATATACGAGTCGAGATTGCAAACAAATCATTTATGCCCTTACATCTCCTATTACATCTCCTATTATTTAGATACATCCCTATCTTGTACATATCTGTAATGAGATATGCTCCTGCATACCAGCCAGGGGCAGTGATTATCGTTTATGAGCACCAGATTATCTGACTATTATTAGGTAGCACCACATAGAGATCGCAATTAATTTTTGTCAGACAAATCACTCGAGAATCCGCAGTTCTATTTCAATCTCAGCAGGACCAATGCTATGGCATCATCATTTCGTAAACACGGTTCAACATTTACGTCTTATTCGTTTCGGTCATCCGGGTTGGTTGAAAGCGTTGAAATATTAACTTCAAATACCTTGACCCGCTTTTATGTTATCGCTATGGAAAGAACACTTCCCATGGTAAAAGTGAAATGGATTATGTATATATTTTGAAATATATGTATACGTGTGTCACAATTGCAAGGTCCATTAATTTGCGGTCAAGAAAAAGGAGAAGAAAAAGAAACACGCCGATTTATATTAATTTAATTCTGAATACATGTTAACTTGGAATTCCTGAGAACGATAATATACGCATAGTAGACGCATGAACATTCGAGAATTTTAATTACAGATGAAAATGGTGGTCTTTCTAGTTGCAATAGCAGCAACTAGAGCTTTGCCTCTCTCGAAAGTGCACGTGAAATTTATTTCTCCTCCGCATGTTTATGAGCACGGTATTACAACAGATGGTTAGTTTATAAATGTAATTATGCAGCATATCGTTAAAAAATCTTTCATTAACAATATTATTTTTTTATCTAACAGGAGATAGAACAATAGATCAGAGATCCTACGTTTCTATTGGACGAAAAAGCGCAACGGGAAATGCTAAAGAATATGGTACGATATTTCTCTTTGATAAGAATGAGAATAAAATACGCAATCCGGTAATTTAATAGAATTTATCATGCATTCACAGGACAACGTTTACGCAACAAAGATATCGTTGCGCCGGTTCATATTAAACCGGAAAATGCTGAATCTCTATGGCCTGTAGGCGTTTTCATTCCACCGATTGATATCAACGATCTCGGCTATAGTTCACAAGAATCAAGACACGCGACACCTGATTTCTCCAACGGACTTGGTAAATCATATATTCGAAACACAAAAATTCGCTAAAAGAATATATAAGAATAATTTAATTTTTGAAAGTAGATGAAAAGACATCCGTCTTATGGTATTTCAGAATATCATGATCCGTATCTGTTGACCGGTGAGGAAGCAATGCTAGCTGTAAAATATCTTTATGATCAAGGTGAATTATTTTATGATGATATTCCTCATGAAAGAGCATTGTTAAAAAATCAAGAAGAAAGGAGACGAAACGGCCTTCACGATCATATATTAAGAAGTTTAAGGCTAACTTCTTCATTCTCTAGGAAATCATAATGTACAGGAATATTATTTATTTACACTAATTTTATTTATTTGCGTATTGACTATTGAATCATAAAAAAAAAGATGGAACATCATAAGTGAAATGTATATGTTTATGTTTATTATCATTTGAAAAAACAAACTTGTTTCGCATTCTATAAAGCTAATAAGAATAATTATATATTTTTTTCTTTGCACAGTCGGAATTTTAATGCAGCTACAAGTGTAATAAAATGACTGTGTATTGCGCTATTAATATAATAAAACATTGTACCATTTTCTGTACAAAGTTTTACAAATATTTATTATGTAAAATGTATATACCTCAGTTTGTGATTATCATACATAAAATACGAAGTTATAAATAAAATTAGAGTATATTTTTACAAATCTTTTGTTTGTTTAAATGCAATATTAACAAATCAATATCGACTAAGCTTGAAAATTACAAGTATCACGTCATATACATACAAAAATGAGGAACATTTTATACAATAATGTACATACAATTCAGTTCAGATATTCTTATATCTTATACCATCGAAATAAAACGCAAAGCGCTATGAAAATCAAACCATTGGAAACGCTTGTTTTCGATGTTCCATTGCATAGATCTCCATAACAAAGACACAAAAACACTTTTTTGTACTTCCACACGGTGTACGCGCATCTTTCCTCTTGGTCATCGGGTCCGTTTTGAAGACAAAGTCTTTGCGTGGCAGTACCATATTCTACAACAAAAAATATTCCTTATGAAACAATCTTGTATAAATTTAAATATATCCATATCCATCGAACGCTTACCATTGTCTAGACTCTTCCGTTCAATTATTTTGCCGCACCATCCAGACACGCAAGGAATAGTTTCCACACCTTTTTCCATTTTAATCGCCGTTGTATTCATAGTGAAAGGATCTTTACACGATCCTAATTCTCCTCTTGATCTACAACTCACACATCTTCGAAGAATTCCTACAATGAAAAGTAACACTTTTATTTGTACATCAAAATTGTTTGTTTGAGTTGTCGGAATCGTCAATTGTAGAAATAGTAAATACGTTTGCAATAAAGACTTCTATTAATTCATAATTTATGAAAAGAATTCGTTATTCGATATGCGGTGAAAGTATAACATTATTCACAAAATATACATGTACGTATAAATGCAATCTATGAAACTCACCGATTGTGTTCTGAAGTAGAATCAAACAAAGAATCGTGGATATTAAGAAAACTTGTGTTTTTAAATTCATTCTATATGTTTGCAATTATGTTTATTTTTATTATCTCACTTGTGAATCGATACTAAGGGACGATTAAACTCAGCCATTTTGAAACTAAACACTGACTACGAGAAATGGACACGTACTCCATGCAGTCTGTCCCTTCCACTGCCACCTTTCACTCGACTACCTTTAAGGTCATCGTCTTTTTAAGAAGTTCTTGCAGGAAAAATCGTACGAAGAATGAGCTCAGTCGGTAAGCAATTTGCACAATTTGTTATCAGCAATTTTTTATCGATCACTTTTTAAATTATGGATTTTAATCGATAAGTGGTAATTCTTCTTCGCGTTTAAATATATCCTCTTTCGGAACAGTTTGCTCGAATTTATGTCTGTTTCTGTACGTATAAACTAAACCACTGCAGTAGCAAAACGAGCAAAGTAGAAATATGAATCCTAAATATCCTAAGTGACGTAAAAATTCTATGGAAAAAAAAAAAATATTATATAGAATCAAATTTTCAATGTCTTGATCTAAATGTCTTTATAATTAATTACAAAGTTTTAATTTCACCTTGTGTTAGTAATCTAGCTTTAGAAATAACGATGACTTTTACTTGCAACATATTTACGTTATTAACATAGCATGTGTAGTTTCCTTCTTCCTCTGTCGAAACATCTGTAAGCAAAAAAATATGAAATACATAAAATATAAAATTTATATGTGTATATGTAATAAAAATACCTATCAGATAGAGCGTTCCAAAGGCATCTACTATCACCCGAGCTTCTGGATCCAATTTTCGAGAGGATCGTCGAACACCCTTTTCCAATGTAATCGCATCCTTTTTCCATGATACTTTTGTATCTAGAGTTGCCCTATGATATTTAAATTTTTTTACGAATAGTTATTGACGTTGTTGATTCAAAATTAGTAAATTACTCTGGACAAATAATTGTAAGATAAGCTCCTTCTGCGAGTACGAATCGTCTGATATGTTTATATCTATCATCTTTTTTCTTTTTCACACGAGGACAATTTTTACACGTTTCCTTTAAAATAAATTCCGGCAAATGGCGCACCGCGCTACTAATGGTAGGAAATTTTTCTTCGAGTAAAATTGATCTTGAAAACAAATCATGATGTTACAGATACAAATCTTTAAATTAAAATTCATAAGTTCACTCACTTGCACGGTAATGATGATGATTTAAGGAAAAATTTAACTATAGATGAATCACTCTTGTTCGCAATAGTCTGTAAAAAAATATATTTTATTGAATCGTTTTTAAATCTGATAATTCATCTTGCTTACCATATTGATCTTTCGTTTTAATCGACAATTTCCAACACTTGATCTATATCCTCGATTATCTATACAATGTTCACATGGACCCCAAGATGCCCATTCAGAAGTGACTTGAAGTATTATTCCGACTTCTCGAATTTCTGCCAGTTCAGACATTTGTGAAATCTAATGAATAAATAAATTACGATGCATAAACATTAACATAAAGATGAATATTTTATTTAAATATTTCTCTATATGAATCATGAATATAGTAAAATTGATGACAATCTTACGGCAAATCGCATGGTAACCGATGCTAAATATATTTCACGATATTTTTCCCAATCAGTAATATTTCCTTGTTCGACATATACAACTCCATGTTCCTTGAAAATTGCTGTAAAACAAATTTGACTAGTTATATTTAAATATGTAATTTCGTCAAGTAATTGGCAAATTCAATAAAAATATTACGTTCAATTCTATAGTTAAATTTATTTTCAACTTCCTGGCCTTCTTTACCATGACATAAATAAATTCCGGCGTCCGTACTGTTAAGATTTTTAATTACTAAAGAAAGATCTGGAGTAGTATAAATTCTATTATAGGATGAGTTATTATCCATTCCTAATTCTATCTCTTTCTTGGGAGTCTCCTTATATCGATCTTGATAGTACCAAATTTTTGACTCTGAAAGTTTCTCCTCTTTGTCGTTGCTATCTTAAAAAACAAATATAATAAAAAAATCTTTCTTTTTTTGTCAATAAAATAATACTTTATACCAAAATCGACATTCCATCACAACAATTGTATCGATCTCGGCGCTAATAAGTAAATATTCATCATTTTCTTCGGACGTTATTAATCTTTCCTTATTTCTACAATATTTAGTAGGTGCCACAAATTGATCGATTGAAACAATATCATCTGTACTAACTGATGAAATCATTAATAACCAAAAGAAGTTTATTTGTAACATGTTAAGTTAGGTATTAATATTATAATAATACCGCTAAATTCAGAATATAAATTGCTTAATTAATTAATTTTGTAACGACATGCATAATATTATGCATAATATGTGAATAATATTATGAAGATGTAAACATATATAATTTTATTTATTTAAATGATTTTGTATATTTTTAAATATATTAATTTACATCGAATGTTTAAGTATTTTAAATTGCAATAAAATTAAATTTTATTTTATTATAGTACGGCATGCTGCGCTCAATTTATTGTACATTTAAAAAGTCCGTAAGGTCCGTTTCAATATTCAAAGATTTTTACTATCCAATCAGAGTGTTTGGAACGATGGAAAAGAACCACTAACGAAATTCACCGCGAAGCGGGCGAGCTCGAAGGAAACACATACCCATAATGCATCATTGATAGCAACATGGCGGAGATGATTGAAAGTGAGTAAAAGTTAACTTATTCTTGATAAAATTAATATAATAAGAGTTAATTAAAAAACAAAAAATAATTATATAAGAATAACAAATATTTCAAGTTTTATGTTAATAATACATACAATCTTTCTATAACATGTTAATAATCTTAAAGACGGTGTTTTAATTGCGCTCACAAAGGTCTGGTTTAAAATTTCAAAAATGACCAATACACAATTCAAGCGGGACAATGAAGATCTTTACCGTTTGAGATTTCATTCACTAAACAATACATCGAAAACAAATACTTGACAATATATTTTATAGTTTTTGCAATATCATTTATTGTATAACTCTATAATTCTAATATGATAAATACACATACTGTTTACGAAACTACATACAAGTTTGGTTATGTCGATAGTTAAGAGCAGAATGATTTTCTTGATTTTTTCCGAATTCTTGATTTTAATATATGTATGTATATTTTATTAATAGAATTAAAGAAAGATAAAAAAAGTTAAATTTTATGATCATATATTAATATTTATATCTCATATTATATATAATTTTATACATTATTTTTTTTTATATTATAAATCTTCAAAAACTTATAATATATAACATTATCAAAGAGATATCTTAAACTTTTTGAAAATAAAAATAAAGTAGAATTTTTATTAAAATATAGAATTTATATTGATTATTAATTATATTATTTAGTATTTAAATAATTATAAATACAATGTTTAGAATTAATAATATATTCTTTTTTAATTATAAAAGATTGAGCGAAATTTGAAATAGAAAAAATAAAAAATTAATATTATTTTATTATATAAATATATTTTCTTTGATATGTATATGTATAATTTTCTTTTCTTAGGTGAATCAGCTGAGACATTGTTATCTATAAAAAATGGAGGATATCCATCAATCGATGAAATTAAAACTGAAGTGATCGATGATGATACAATGGATATGGATGATCAACAAATTTCAAACAATTCAACAGATTCACACATGGACACAGAAGAATCTGATCCAATTCCTGAACTTGGTCCTGCAGCTTTAGGTTTACAAAGAGTAGGTACTCAACCTCCTCCAAAACCAAATCCTCCTAGTCAACCAGTTCAAGTTTTAAATCGAAGAGGGATGCCAGCAAGAATTAGAAAAAAAAATAAATTATTTTATGATGATATATTGGTTAATCATCCTCATCACAGGTACATATTTAACATCATAAATATGTATATTAATATTATACATACTTTAATTAAAGTCATCTATTTTATAGGATCAAAAAGGATCCGTCACATCCAGATGCAAAACATTCTCCTAAAAAAGTATCTAGACCTTCTCCTGCAAAAAAACAAACTAAAATAACTAATGAGCCAAGAAAAAATAATAATATATTAAGTCAACCTATATCATCTACAATGACCCCAATTAAACAAGAGAAAGAACCTGATAAACCAATGCAACCTTCATCTCCGGATCGTAAAATTGGACAAAAGATTGGTATGAGATTAAGAAATTTATTGAAATTACCAAAAGCTCACAAATGGGTTTGTTACGAGTGGTTTTATAGTAACATTGATAAGTATGTATGAAAAGAAATGAATATACATACATAAACAATTCGATTTAATAAATTTAAATTTTATTTTCTTATGCAGGACTCTTTTTGAAGGTGACAATGATTTTATGATTTGTTTAAAAGAATCGTTTCCACAATTAAAAACTCGGAAATTAACACGTGTTGAATGGTGCAAGATAAGAAGAATGATGGGTAAACCACGAAGATGTTCACAGTCGTTTTTTGAGGAAGAAAGACGAGAATTAGAAAGAAAAAGACAAAAAATTCGAATGTTACAACAAAGAAAAGCTGCAGATATTAATAGTTTTAAAGATTTACCACCAGAAATACCATTACAGTTGGTAATTGGAACCAAAGTTACAGCAAGACTGAGAAAACCACAAGATGGTTTATTCACTGGAAGTATTGATGCTGTGGATACTAGTAATAATACCTACCGAATTACGTTTGAACGTGCTGGGCTTGGAACGCATAGTGTTCCAGATTATGAAGTATTGGTGTGTATATATTTATTCTAAAATAAAAATTATCAAAATTCTATATCATAATAAAAATATATATGCTTATTTATTATTTATAGTCAAATGAACCACCAGAAACAATAAGTGTTGCTTCATTTGCACAAAAATTTAGACCGCGACATGTACAATATGTACCATCTCCACCATATGCTATGAAATTAATGTCACCACGTTTAAACAGTGATCCTTTAATATCAAATGCTTCTGTATCATTGCCAAAGAAATCTCATATTGGTGGAACAATGAATGGTTATCCTTTAAAATTATTGGAATTTATGGTTAAAGTTAATAAAATATTAGCTGCTAAAAAAGTTAAAATAAAGAAGTTAAAAGAAATGAATAGTGAAGCAGAAAAAAGACGATCTTTTGGAGAACCGCTTCCACCAGATTTTGAAAGAAGATATGCAGGGTAAACAATTATATTTATATTATATTTATATATATATTTGTTTTTTTATATTTATTGTTTTTTTTTTCTTATTGATATTTCTAATTTTAGTATTGTGGTTGAATTGGAAAAAATGAATACTGCTTTGCAAGATTTTCTTAATGATATTCAAGAACTTTGTCAAGAAATGGCCCCTGAACCTAGTGTGGCAGCTATGTTAGCTCCTTCTCATCTTCGTGAAAAATGTAGACAGGAAGCTGCAGATATGGTTGCAAGAAATAATATTATTAATGATAAGGAACCTGGAAAAATGTCTCAATTAGTAACAGACTTAACAGCTCTTATGCTTCAAGTAAAGGTAATGCTTTGAATTGCTTTGTTCAATATAAACTATTTTCTTAATTTTTTGATATAATTTTGATACAACTTTTTTTATGTTTTTTTAGAGTTTATCTGATTCGGATCGTAACGCATATGAGTTGAAAGTATTACAAGGCACGATGGAACAAATACGCGCAAAATTAAGTCCACAAAATCAACAGGTTTTTCAAAATTGTGTTGAAATACATATGCAACATATACAATTAGGTTTGGGACAAAGAGGTGCACTGACGCCATTTATGGCTCAAAGAGCTTAGCAAATATGAAAGTAATTTTTATTGATACTATAGAAAAAACTGTAAAATATTAATATAAATATGAACTATCATACTACAATATTTTATAAGAAAAATTCAACTTTATTTTATTATCTTTTTGTATAGGACATATCATCATTAAGGAGTACCTATCATACTAGAATACATATGTGTGTTCTGTATATACAATAATTCTATAATTGTTTTTTAAGTAACATTCTATAAATGAGTTTTAGAATAATGTGCTGTGCCGTTAATTGCATTAAACATTTAAAAATGTTCATGTTTAAAAAATTTACATGTCAACTTTACGATTTCTACAATAAGAAATTGAAGATAAATAATAATGGCTATTGTAAATAAAGCGTACATTTTGCAGTGGCAGCTTTCATTAAATTTATACAGAAATTTGACATATTATCGCAGTAGGAATGGATAACTTGTAAAAAAAGAATTTAATATTTACTGCTTATGAATAATTTCAAAAATTAATATATAATTAATACATTAGTATTTTGAAAAATAATTTTCAATAACTGTAAATTAGGTATATGCACAAAAATTGCATAACCAATTGTAAATACACTATAAATGATAAAAAATATGAAATTTTTACATTTATTTTATTCACATTAGCTAAAAATTTTTTATTTATATCAGATGTTTTAGTTTGAGAAATTGTATAAAGTTCAATACAATATGCTAATTTATTTAAAATATGAATCTTTTTAATGATCCTATTTCTAAAATAGTTATTGATATATTGAACAAAGAATAACACTTATGAAAATCTATGATTTCACTTATTATGTTGTCATTATAAATATATTTATATGAATGTTATTTCTATTTTTCATGCATATTATATTTTTAATAAAATAGATGTAAATAATCTTAATTCATACATACATGTGCAATATTGATGTTAATAATTCTAATATAAACATTCCTTAAAATAATAAATATATTTTTATATTCATAAAATAAGTAATATTAAAAATAGGCTATGATTTGAAAATTTATAATTCTTTTATATTTTTTTTTTATAATTTTCAATAAAAAATGTTTATTTCGATACTAAATGATAAAGTAAGAATTCTGGTCATTTATAATAATAAAATATCATAGGAACTATTAAAATTTTTTATAATCAAGAATAAATTAAGGAATGTAAGCTATAATGATCTTAATATTTGTTCTATTTACATAAATTTTTCATATATAAGTAATTTTTATTGGAAAACATGTATTAGACAAGTATATAACATTTTAAACACATAATTCTGTAAACAAAAAATTATACTTGCAGTACATGTATCAAATAACGTCTATGAATTTTAAATATTCTAAATCTGATTTACATTTATTTGTTTTAATTACAATGTCCTTATATTTATATATATTACCCATACCGTACGTGATACCATAACGTACCCTTCGTGCAATAAAAAATAAAAAATATATATATAATATATTCTAATTCTATTTTACATGACATGTTATACCAATTCAAGTAAAAATATTACAATGAATACATATAACAACAAAATTGTATTTTTGTTTTCAAAAAATTATTGGTTACTATTCAACACAATTTTGTTTTTTCTTTTTTCAATGGCATTTATAATTACTTATTTATAATTTCTATTTTTTTTTTCATTTTTTATGTTTATTAAGTGCTTCTAATAATTTATCTGCATCTTCATCTGTTTTTACTCTTAATAAAACTGGTACTGGAGGTGGTGTAGAATCAGGTAAAGGTAAACAAACCAACATTATTGTATTTTTATTCATACGTTTTGTTGGTATACTTTCTGTTAATAAAGTATTGAGCAATAAATTCCCCAAAGAAGTTTCTGCACGTACTAATAATTGTGTTTTTTCATTTGGAGTTGGTTTTAAAAACAACATTCCAACACCTCTATCAGTAAAATTACCATCTTTTTTAACAAAAACTTTACATCTGCAAAAAAAATATAAAAATATAAATTTAAATTTTAATTTTAAATTAATTTTAAAATAATTTTTTTTTTTATATTAGAAAATATTTAATATAATACCTTTGTTCATATATAGCACCTTCTTCTATAACTGGTTTGAATTCTACTTTTGGTGGTTCCTCATCTTCATCATCCTTTCCTTCACTATCTTCAGGTTCTTGTGGCTTTACCACTTGAGCTCCAAATGTAAATGGTTTTGTACTATAAAATCATGATGTTATTAAAATATTTTCATTACATTAAACATTTGAAATAAATTACCTTCCAAAACTAAAACCAGTTGATGTATTATTAGTAGCAGAACTTTGACCAAAGCAGAAAGTTGTTGTATTTGTTGTAGCAAACGAACTAGCAATAGTAGTAGTGGTACTAGCAGTACTAGTAGTTACAGTAGTAGATTTTGAATCCAATTTTGTTTCTTGCTCATCTGATTTATCAGATGCAATAGATGGTTTACTTAAAAATGGATTCTTTTCAGAATTTGAACTTCCAAATATATTTTTGCTACCAGATTTTTGATCAATATTACCAAAAACAGATTTTTGTATGTCTGAACTTTGATCTGTATTACTAAAAATAGATTTACCCGTATCTGTAGTATGTTCTGATTTTCTAAATATAGATTTAGAGCTTGCACTAATATTGCCAAAAATTGATTTTTCAGGTTTCCATTCTGTTGAACTAAAAGGAGATTTTGAATTTGTTACTCCAAATGGAGAACTTTCAAGTTTTTTTTCTGTGTTTGTAGATTCTTTATTATCACTACTGTGTATAGATTGTGCTTGCGAAGATTTCTCAATTTCATTTCCATGTTTACTTTCTATTTCTTTAAGATACTTTTCATAATCTTTAAAAATTGGAGTCAAAATACAAAATGGATTTGCATCAACATGAGTTTTAATCCATTGTGCAACACTTTCATTTAATCCTTTTAATTTAGCAAAATAATCAGAAGATTTTTTTAATGTATTTTGATCTTCTTGATCAGAAATACTATTTTTACTACTACATGTAGGTGATGATACTTGTATTTCTGTATTCTCTTTTTTGTTTGTTCCATTTTCATTAGTTTTTGCAGTTTCATTATTTGAAGAAGACTTGTTTATATTTGTAATTGTCTTAGATGATGTATCATTAGTATTTATAGTATTATTATTAGCTAAAAAGCTAAATGGTGAAGCATTTGTTGAAGTTGTTGTTTTAAAACCTGTAAATGTACCAAATGCACTTCTGGTAGTGTCCTAAAAAATATTTTAAATAAATAACATAAAGTTATATATATATTGCAAGATAAGCAATATAGGGATGAAAATATTTACTTCTGTATTTTGTAAACGTCTTTTAGCTTTTTTAACAATACGTTTTTCCATTACATCATCAGGAGCTTTTTTAAATGTACCTGCTTCTTCAGGTTTTTCTTCATCATCCCAGTTATCATGGTTTAAATCTGTAGTTGCAGGCCTTTTACCAGCCATTTCTGTAAACATATTCTACAAATATACTCATTACTGTTTTTTCCTATATTTCTTCTTTTTTTTATGAAAACCGAAATAAAAAATTAAATATGAACTGTCTTGATTAATAAAATATTTAAATTAATATATATTTTTTAAATATTAAGATTATTCTTATATAAAGTTTATATATTTTATATAGCCACATATAATAATAAATTTAATAGCAATTGAAATAAGAAATGTAAAAGTTTATTAATAATATTATATTATATTAAATAATTATAATTTAATTTTAATTTTAAAAAAAATGAAATGTTTATTTTTAAATATATCGAAAACTTGCAATATAACCTCATAAACTGCTAAAGTAGAAAGTATCGATTTTTTAATGTAATTGAAAAATAAATAAAATTATATATTATAATATTTACCAAAATAAATTCAATTATATTAAAAACTTAATTAAAACAAATTTAATATACTTATATTAAAGTACGTACTTAATATACATAAGAATTTACACTTGAACGCTAAACACAATTTTCAGTTCTGCGCATGCGTTTTTTTTTCAACCATGATCGTACTATATATCCAACGAACAAACTAAATCTTAAAAGGTTAAACGACAAAATTATAATATTTTAAGTTCTATTTTACGTAACGTGTATATGATATAAACCTATTTCAAACTCTAAATACTACAGTAAGGTAATGGAATTGTTTTCGATATAATTCTGAACAAAATCATTATTATAAATTTGTAAATATTTCTATAATTTAAACATAATAATTTTGTATAATTATTCAACTTAAACTTATTAATTTTCTGTATTTATGAAAATAGATATAAAAGTATAATTAATTAATATAGATCACACAGAACAATTGAACAATTTATATATTTTTGCAATTTGTCTTGATGTTTATTAAGTTTGTATATAATTTCAAATTATACATAATTATGAATTAGTAAAAAAAGTTTGAAATTATATTTTCTAATGTTAGAAAGTTGCCATTATGTTATATTTTTTAATGTTTTTAATATTTTTTGCGTCTTGATCTTTTTTCATAAGATATAAAAATTCTCAAAGAAAGTTCTGGATTCTAGATAAAACAATAATAATTTAAATCGTTTAAACGATGATATTTAAGTGTAAAAATAATTTTTTATATCATAATTGAACTTTCATAAATCAAGAAAGAAATATATTATATTAAATATATGTATGTACTAAACTAGCCTATAAGATAAATATATGATGAAAGATCACGTGGTATATTGTCACGTGCAAACGATCAATTTAAATTTGATATTTTTCTATATATTCTTTATTTAATTTACATAATAAAATTTTTAATATCTTGATAATATTTTTATATAAAAAAAATTAATAATTTAATAAGTTTCTATTATAGTTTGCAAATGAAATAAATACTATATAATATATTTTTCTGGAATATTAGTAATTTTTTTCATTATAATATTAAATATATATTGAATATTATTATTACATTTATATTTATTTAAATTATTCTAACTATTAAAATCGTAAATTTTATAATTCTAGATATATAAATATTTTATAAATATAAATATATATTTTTTTTATATTATATATATATATATATATACACATTATAATAAATAGTACATTATAAATACTTTATATTATCTATAAATATGAAAATATCAATATAAAATGATTTATTTATTGTAATTTATATAAAGATTTAATTATTTCAAGTATAAATATGTAAAAATTAAATAAGCAAATTTTTTGATGCAATTATTAAATTAATTTCATGTTCATTAAAAATAGCCATATTTTGACTTATCTTTAAGTACGGAAACTAAAACATATCTTCGGATTTCAGAGAACGAGCGTGTCTATCATGAACAACGTTTCATTTCGTAATCGCAAATGTGGCGCCACTATCGCCGGCATTACCAACGTTCACTATCATAAAAGATCTACTTCAAGGAAATGTTTTCTTTGAACATCCTGTGTTTTCGTAAATTTGTAAGCATAGTTCATAGTGATCGACAATCATATGCAAACAATGCATATAATAAAATTGTAATATAGAGTGATAAGTTCTTTCACGTGGTACATATACCGGTTATAAGCTTGGCGCGAAAACTTTCTTTCAAGGAGCGCGTCGGATCCCTGGGCATACAATATAGCAAGAGGAACGAAGAAAGGAAGAAAGAGAAAGAGAGAAGGATCGAGGGTAAGGGCCAGGGGTGTCAGGGGATCTCGAGCAACTTGGCACGTCCGTGTACAGAGGCAACAGTGCTGGTGGCAGCACAGACGCTCGTTGATGAGCGAACAATTCACTTTGGTGCGCGGTTTCGCGACGTTGTTTCGTCTCATCAGTGTCGTGAAATAAGGGTGTACGTACGTAACGAAGCGATAAAATGTGTCTGTGACATTTTTACCTGTTCGCTTTTCTTAAGTTAAAACGATCAAGTGTCGTTGCGGTGGCTTGAAGAGTTAGTGGCTGGTGCGCGCCGTGCGTGCGGTTGATCAGAGCGTATACCGCTGCTCTCGTCGATTTGGTGGGAGAGTGAGAGTGAGAGGGAGGAGGGGTTTCCCGTCCTCCTCTTCTCTCGCTAAAATCGGCCGGATTTTTGAACAGGGAGGAAAAACGAATAATCACAATACAAAAATATGGAGATATCGAAGAGTTTGCAAGAAGAAATACTCACTGTGCAAACTAAACTGAAAAATGCCATACGCGATCATCAGGTGAGTCCCGCGACTATGCATGTATGTCGATAACGATTTAAAGATTGAGAGTACGAAGCCGAACGAACGAATGAGCGAATAACTTAACGAATGATTTTTACCTAACTACTTCTTATTTCTTTTAATACATTATTTCCTATCGATTAAGAAATAGAGATTGCACCTTTGATAAATAATCGACTCAAAAAGTAAAATAGTTTTTGAACAATTTTAATGTATTTTTTGAATATAATTCGTTATTTTTAAAAAACTTTTGCAAAGTAAAAGCAAATTAAACATATATTAAAGTTTTTATTAAACAAATTCTTTTTGTGACTCAGTTTCCTCGGCATTCCCACGCACAATGCGTGCACAAACGCATGTACGCATCCAGCATGTACGCGCGCGCGTGCATAAATGCACACCTATACTATATTTATGGAACATGTTATTTCAATATAAATTCTTCGAAGTTTCATAAAACGATCATTCTGATCAAAGATGTCCGGTTTATCGCGAGATGCGAACAGACCTAAGTTACTAATATGGCATACATCTCCTTTCGATCTATTTTATAAAAGTATCCCTTTCACTCGTATCGTTTGTAAACTGTGTGCACTCTTCGGTTACGTTGCGCGTTATCGAAAGTGAAAGAAGCGTAACAAGTTCCAAGAGAACTTTTGCTTGCTTTTAATCATGTTATAAGTTTTCACCGTGCAATGGTCATTTTTTTTTACGAATCGTATAAACTCGAAGGTGAACGAGTGTTCAGACCTTAACCTTTGTAGGTAGAGTGCTTCGACCGATGCGTCGCATGACTTTGAGAACCATTCTATCTCTCTCTTTCTCTTCTCTCCTCTCCCCCCTCTCTCTCTCTTTTATTCTCATTCTCTCACTCGCTCGTTCATTCAGTTACTCACTTGTTTAGTAAATCTTCCTCTCTTTTTTTCTTGTTTATCCTAACTTCTATAGTCCTATATTCTTTCTCGTGTTCTTTTTCTTTTTCTTACTTTTGCCTTTGTCTAGTTCACTCTTTTTTTTTCAATTATTGATATAAATCTTAATTTGATCATGTTGTATGTCCAATATTTTTGTTTCATTAAATATGACAACTTTCATTATATTTTATTACATTTATATAATTTCTTGTTATTTTTCTTTTTATTTTTTACAGTTTAATCTTAGATTTATTAACAAATTTATTTGCATTTGTTAATAAATAATGCATAAAATAAATTGAGAAACGGATTTAAATAAATACATTTTCAATTGTTGCCAATATAGTAATAGAATTAACTCTTATTTAAAATTTGCTTTAACGTTCTTTTTGCTATTATAGCATAAGTTGTATATTATAAATGACTAGAGTCAAGGTATTCTATCGACTCTGAATATATATGTCGAAGTGCTATAAACCAATATTATCGAATCGTATATAATGCGAACACTCGTTTTGTCTCTTTACTGTAAACTTTTATTAACAAGTTGTAACGCTAGGGGGATATGTGCGCAATGGGGAAAAGTTTGTTCGCGCACGATCGGTATTCTGCCCTGCTCTACCGACCTTGTCTGGTCTAACTGTTCGAAATCGAATTTTTTTGTCCAAGCAAGAGTATAGTGTATATTTAACCTATACTTTTCGAATATTGATTTCAATCAATATTGATCTCGTTGAAATTAATTCATTTTTTAATATAATCATACAAAATATTTTGAATATCTGATGAAGGGTTATTAATTATATTAAGGATAGAAATTTATTAATTTGATTGAATTACATCAATATTCGTATTTATGAACCGGCTAAAACTAACCTCGCTAATAGATATTTGAGTTACATGTTTTTCGTTGATTATTGAGAAACAGGTGCTTAATGATATTATTTCTTAAATTTCATGTCATTTTAAAAATATTTTTCAAATCATATATTATACAGAGTCAAACTGATATGTAAGTATTCTATACTTCATATGCGTTTATTTTAATATTGCATCGATATATTAATAAACATATATACAATATATTTATTTTTATTTTGAACGTGAATACTTCGGTGATCAATACGATTCTTGTTGAAGATCTTTTTTTCTCTTGTTTACTATTATTAGACATTGACTAAAAGTAGTTACTATGAAACGAAATTCTCTCAAAATTATTTTTCAATTGCTAAATAATGCTAGAAAAAGGAAAAGAAGCTTTTAGCCATGCAAAATTATTCATTTGATCATTTGTACACATTTTCTAATTTGATCGACACACAATATTACGATAATTGCGTCATTGCGCCGCAAAAGAGACGCCACAGACGCGTGTACAAAAGTATAGCGACAGAGGATGTTCTGAATTGAACATTTGAATCATCTTTGAAATTATAACTAATCTAAAAATTTTCTTTTTTAATTTCAGATTTGCGTGGGTAAATTGAAGGATGACCCAAATGTAAGTCGCTTATTTTTATTAATTCTATGAATTCCAATTTAGAACATAATTAGTACTTCAGAAAAATCGTAATATGTAATTTATATTATATACTCTTGTATCATATTTACCGAAAAATCAAATCACTGTTAATAATATTTTTACCTTTATTATAATTGATTTGTACTTAATGAATGTTAAGTAATTTGTGATTTGTTTGCTATTCGATATATTGATATTCTTTAAGATAAAGTTTTTCTATTAATTAAAAATCGAAAATATGATATAAGATTTTTTTATCCTTTCTAAATTACATTTTTTTTTTAAATTTTTTTAAATGAAATTAATTTACAAATATTATTATATTATTACGTATTTAAATTACTTGATCGATTTTTATTGATG